CTCATGGTTTTCCCCTTTTGCTCTGATTCTTCTTTCACAACATGACTAATGTGGAAATATGGTTAATGTGATCATACATGTATAACCTTTATCAGATTGTATGCCATCTTGGGGAGGAGGGAGTGGAGGGAGGGGGGATATTCAGAACTCAAAATCTTATAAAAGCAAATGTCGAAAACTAAAAATAAATTAAAAAATAAATTAAAAAAATATGTATTTTGGGGCAGCTAGGTGGCACAGTGGATAGAGCTTTGGCATTGGAATCAGGAGGACCTGAGTTCAAATATGACCTCAGACACTTGACACTTACTAGCTGTGTGACCCTGGGCAAGTCACTTAATCTCGATTGCCTCACAAAAAAAAAATGCATTTCTATTTTGACCAGTTACATTTGTGATACTTGTGGAATATCCAGGTAGAGATGTCAAGAAAGCAGTTGGAGATACAGAATTAATGTTCAGGATAAAAATAAGGAAAGGAAGGATATGCAAATCTTGAATACAAAATGATGATAGATGCATTCCTGGAAATAAGAGAGAATGTATAGAGAGGAAAGGGAAGATCCATTGGTGTATTAGGTTTTTTTTTTCTTTCATTTTAAAGACACAGATTTTTAAAATAAAGGCACCTTCCTGGAAAAAAAAAATGAGCTGGAGAAGGAAATGGCAAACCACTCTAGTATCTTTGCCAAGAAAACTCCAAATGGGGTCAAGAAGGGTCAGATATGACTGAAATGACTCAACCACAACATCCTGACCCAAGCCTAGTGCTCTGTCTACTGTGCCATCCATCAGCTTCCTAACCTAATAAATGGTGCTTGAATTTAACTGGATATATAGGAACAGATTTATTCCACGTAACCCTACAGAACAGACTCAGAGGCAGTGGGTAGTACTCACAGGCAAACAGATGTTAGTGGAGGATAGGAAAGACTTTGCTACTAGACAGAGGATGGGTGATGTTGCAGATGGAATTCTTGCTTTGGATGAGGCTTAGACTAGATGACCATTGACCATTCAAGTCTCTAGCAGCCCGGAGGGCCTATAACACTAAGTAATAAAGGCTGAAACTATAAATAAGTTCAGGAAAAGTAGAAAATGTTTGTTGAATTAAATTCCTGGCCAATTGACAGCAGGCTATCCATAGAGAGATGAGGGAGTTTGGGACTTATTCCTAAACCCTTGAAGAAATTGATTATAGCTTCCTCCAACCAAGAGTTCTTGACCTGGGTTATGTTAACTTGTCCTTAAAAAAAGAAAAACTTTGGGAGCAGCTAGGTGGTGCAGTGGATAGAGCACCGGCCCTGGAGTCAGGAGTACCTGAGTTCAAATCCAGCCTCAGACACTTAACACTTACTAGCTGTGTGACCCTGGGCAAGTCACTTAACCCCAATTGCCTCATAAAGAAAAAAAAACTTTGATAATTACATTTCAATATAATTGGTTTCCTTTGTAATTTTATGTATTTTATTTTAAACATTTGAAAACATGATTCTGACTCAATTACCCAAGGGGCCCATGATTCAAAAAATGTCAAGAATTGAACCAGCCCTAGGAGAGCCAGAATTCTGGGCTGGAGGGGCCATCGGGCTACCCCTAGATGAGAATTCACATACTTCCATAATGAGTAGCATTAGGAAGAACGCTAGATTTGGAATTAGGGGACCTTGGGTTCTAAACTCAGCTCTGCTACTTGCTACCTTTGGGAGAACAAACAATTCTCTTTCCTCTCTGGGCCTCAGTTTATTCCTTTGCAAAACTGGAGAGGGAGGGTGGGGTGGGGATTAAAAGGCAGTATAGCATAGTGGATAGGGGGCTGGACTTAGAGTCAGGATGATCTGACTTTAAATCTTGCCTCAGACACTAGTTGTGTGACCCTAGGCAAGTCACTTAACCTCTCAATGCCTCAGTTTCCCTGTCCTGTTGCTGTTCAGTTGTGTTTTAGTCATGTCTAACTCTTTGTGACCCATTTTTGGGGTTTTCTTGGCAAAGATACTGGAGTGACTTGTCATTTTCTTCTCTGGCTCATTTGATAGATGAGGTAAACAGGGTTAAGTGACTTGCCCAAGGTCACACAGTTAGTAAGTATCTGAGGCTGGATTTGTACTCAGGAACATGCGTCTTCCTGACTTTAGGCCAGGTACTCTATACACTGCACCCCCTAGCTGCCTTTCCCCATCTACAAAACTTAATTTAATCCTCATCTACAAAACTTAGCAAGAAGACACCAGAAGTATTCGGGTCATAAAGCAGACTCACCATCTACCCTGAGTTCCCATCAGACATATCAATCATCCCCTAAGATTCCTTTGGCTTTAAATCTATGATCCTATGATCCCGAAGGCCCCCCCCCTTGCTCTAACATTCTGTAACCCTCCCAGTTAACATCAGTAGTTTTTCCTAATGAGTAAGCCCTTGGCAGAGTGAGCCTTGTGCAGACATTTTGTACAAAATAAGTTCAGCCTTAGGTCAGGCCCTGGATTAACTGTGAGATGATTTTCCCCTAAACTCCAAACTAATCTGTAAGCTCTTTGTGGACAAGGACATGTCACACAGTCTTACTACATCTCATGTAGTAAATTAGCAGGATGCCAGCCACACGGTGGAGACATAGATACTTGGAGCTAGAAGAGAACTCAAAAATCATCCAGGCCAACCCTTGTGTTTTCATTTTACAGCTGGGGAAACTGAGGCACTGGGAGAGAGAAAAGATTTACCGAAGGTGATGCTGCTTGTCAGTATGAAAGGTCTAGTCAACAAGTATTCATTAGGTACTTACTAGGTGTTAAGCTGGCATTATACTGGGTGCTGGGGATTCAAAGACAAAAATGAGAAATCTCTGCCCTTAAGGAGCTGCCCCCAGTGTTTAGAACAGTGAAGGCATCTAATAGATGCCTGTTGACTGACTGAGAGAAACACAGTGGTCTCTACTTTCAAGGAGGTTATATTCTCCTGGCAGGAGTCCATACCTGTTGAGTAGAGAGACAAATTCTGCTCAGGAGACAGCTCCCCATATTTACCTTTCTCCCTCCCGCCCTGTCCCTGGGGGGTCAGGGGATTATCTGGATCACTGCCTTCTGTTTAGAAGCAAACTTAACTGTTTTGGCTCCAAGCACATGAGCTACGATGTACTCGCTGGATTCCCGGGCTTCGGGCACTCCCCTTTCCTCAAAGAGCTGTGCCCAGTGCTTGACCAAGGCTGTCGCTGTCACCAACGGGGCCCTGCAGCCACTGACCGGCCTCAGAGGCAGCAAAACAGGAGGGTAGCGGAGTCCTCCCTTCCATTTCAGCCCTCCAGGTGCGAGGCCCCACGGCTTTATGCGCCAAAGCCACATGTCTTAGGGGAACAGCATCTGCAGCTGCAGCTCTAACCCGTGATTCTCTGTTGACCTGGGGCTGGGGAAGAGAGAGACAGACACCCCCACACCCCCACCCCAAGACCTTCAGATAGAATCTTTCACCTCTAACCACCTCTGGAACATCCCCTCCTCCAACCATCCCCGACCCCATCTCCACTCTTACTCCTGACCACCAGATGTCATCACCTGTCACCTGGATTGCTTCAGGTATCTATGATCCAGACTCCTAGCACCCAATACCCTTCCCACACAGCCAGAGGAATCGTCCTTCCATGGCCAATAGTGCACCATGTCTTTCTGGCAACAGATGCTCCATAAATGCGTGCTGGATGAATGGAGCGTGTAGTTGGGGCTGGGGGCTGTCACCCTCCCATTTCGCAGGCAAGGAAACCAAGACAGTCTCCCTTCCTCTCCAAACCCTGCCAACTTTTCAAGGCCCAGTTTAGCCCTCCTCTCTTAGAAAGCCTTCCCCACCATGGGGATCCCTTCCTTTGAACACTATAGCCAGCCCTTCTCACTGATATCCAGGCCTTTGCATCTGTTGTGCTCTTAAGTGTTTAGCTTATTCTTCTCAGAACACTTCAAGTCTTTCATTATTATTTAGCTTTCCAATATACCTGCCTCCCCAAGCTGGACTGAGCCTTCCCCTCACTAGAACTGGTTGGGTAGGGCAGAGAAGAGGGGGAATCTGATAATAATCAGCTGATGAGCTTTCCTAGGAAGGCATCAGGGTGCTGTAGAAAGAATCCTGGTTCAATTTCCCAGGGTCCAGCTTTGTATCTCCCCCCTGTCATGTTAACCTGGATGCATCTTGGTAAAGTCAAAAAATGGAATCTATAGTCCAGTCTTGGCTCTGACACTTTCTGTCAATCTGGGCAAGTCACTGAAAGTTGCTGCATCTTTTTCCTTATCTGTAAAATGGAGCTGATTTATCCTCTCTACGATTATCTTCTCTACTCTGCTAATTACAAATAAAGTATTTTCTAAAACTTAAGAGAGCTACACAGGGCAAAGTTATTCTGGTAAGAGCTGACAGAACTGACTCTGAGTCACTTAACCCCAATTGCCTAAAATAAAATAAAATTTAAAAATGTTTAAAAAAAAAAGAACTGACTCTGGAGTCGAGGACCTGGGTTCAAATTCTCCCTCTGAGCTTACTACCTGTATGACCTTGGACAAGTCTCTTTACCTCCCTGGATTTCACTATTCTCATCTGTAAAATGAGGCCTCTGGGGTCCCTTTAAGCTCCACAGGCTTTAAGGCAGACTAAGGTTTCTTAACCTAGGTTTCATAGAAGGAACCATAGCTAGATTTCAGAGGATCCATGAACTTGGATAGGAAAAAAAATTACATCTTTATTTCTTCGTTTTCTTTGCAATTCTGGGCATTTTATTTTATGTACTTAAAAACATTTTTCTGAGAAGGGGTCCTGAGGCCAAGGGGTCCAGGAGACACAAAAGTTAATAACTCCTCCTGGAAGGTCTCCCCCCGTTTGGACAGTCTAGGGATGTGTCCGATGGGTCTCTGTCTGATCCGAAGTCAGATGCTGGAGTCTAACAATCAGAGCCCAGAGCATGAGACCCAGGGGGCTAGTGGGTCCTTTGGGAGCCTAGGGAGCAGCCAGGGCCTGAGGCCCTGGACACTGGCCCCAGAATGCTTTGGCCACCAGGGAAGGGAAGGCTCAGATGAGCCAGGGGTCTCCCTAAAAGCCATTCCCACACTCCGAGACCCCAGGCCACCCTTACCTGGACAGGCTGCTCTGGGTACGGGATGCTGCGGTTCTGGGGTCCCTAGAGCTGTAGGTACTGGCTCCAAACATCATCCTATGCCATTGCCCATGTGTTCTTCCTTTCTTCCGGGAAGGGCAGCAGCCTCAGTGAGTGGTTCCACCCCCAAAGCCTCCGCTCTCCTCCTCTCTCCTCCTCTCTCCAGCTGGCCCGGCTTGGGGAACTGGAGTCCCCACCCTCCTCTCTTCTCCCAGCCAATCCTCTCCCTTACTATCTCCTCAAGGAGGCGGGGCCTCTCACCTGGCTCTGCCCGCTGATGTGTAAAGACCACGTGGTCTGTGCTCCAGCCCTACCCTGACCCAGGCTGATCGTGCGAGAGCTTGATTGGCCTGGGCTCCCACTGCGTCCTCCCTCTAATTAGCTCCCAACCCGGCTCGGTGAGCCTCTGCACGCTGCTGTCCGTGCGGGAGAGTGCTGACACATCAGTGTATCTGCATTATGAATTTACTGCCTCTATGTATATCTGAAATGGCAGCCTCTTTGTTTGGATGGTCCAGAAGTGTCTTTGGCTAGCCTCTGGAGGTGTTCGTGCATCCCCTGGAAACAGAAAGAGAAACTGAAACCCAAGAAAAGCAGGTTACCAAGCCTCCCTGGAGGGCGACGGCATTGGTATGGGAAGAAAACACTCATTTATATTATGTGCCAGGCAGTGTGCTAAGTGCTTTACAAATACTATTTCATTTGATCCTTACAACAGCCCTGGGAAGCAAGTGCTATTATTATCCCCATTTTACATTTGGGGAAACTGAGGCAGGTACAGGTTAAATGACTTGCCCAGTGTCACACAGCTAGTATCTTAAGAATGAATTTGAACTCAGGCCTTCCGAACTCCCTACTCATTGTTCTATCCACTGTGCCACCTACCTACCTTCAACAGGGCTTAGTGATGACGCCCAGCTCCCAAAGCTAACAATTATTAGATAACAACTCTTTGCTCTTTAGGCATACAGCCTGAGAACCTTCCAGCCTTGCAACAGGTGTCCTCGAGTCTGGTTAAGCTCCTCCCCCAGCCTCGACCCCTTCTTAGTAACCACCAGTCCCATCACAATTGCCCAGCTACGTAGAGGAGCCCACTCACGATTTATTATTATGAATCCAATTCTTCTCATCCTTTTTTCACTGAGGATCCTGGGTTAAGTCACTATCCTACTGTTTTATAGTTAATGTTCTTTTACGACTGTCGGACAGGGGAACTGCTTTTTGCAAACCAGTAAGGGTACTGGGGGCAGCTAGGTGGCGCCATAGTGCACAGAGCATTGGTCCTGGAGTCAGGAAGACTCAGCCTGAGTTCAAACTTGGCTTCAGACACTTTATTAGCAGTGTGACCCTGGACAAGTCACTTCACCCTGTTTGCCTCAGTTTCCTCATCTGTAAAATGAGCTGGAGAAGGAAATGCCAAACCACTCCAATATCTTTGCCCAAGAAAACCCCATGGACAATATGGTCCACCAGATTCACGAAAAACAATGAGTATTGGAATGAAAGGTCATGTACTGAAGGCTCATTGAAAGCAGCTTCAGGGGAATTCTAACATCAAACAGAATGATGGGAATGATTCTGTTCCTCATCCTGGTCCCACGTGGTTTTGATTTCTTCAGTTAGGTCTTTGTATTGTAAAAGCGTTATGTTTTCTCATAGCTTGGAGATGTTGTCTTTTAAAAACTTATATTGTATTTAATGAAATCCTATCAGAGTGGAAAGAAGCAAGCATTTATTAGGCACCTATTATTTGGTAGACACTTTACAAATATTACCTCATTTAATCCAAACCACAACCTTTGGAGGTAGGTGCTATTGTTATCCCTGTTTTGCAATAGAGAAAACTAAGGCATACTCAGAGAGAAAGTGACCTAACTGCACTCACACAGTTAGGAAATGTCTGAGGGCACATTTGAACTCAGGAAGATGAGTCTTTCCGACTCTAGGCCCAGCAGTCTATGCACTATGGTACATAGACTAGCTGCTGCTGGTCTCACTCTTAGGAGGTGTAGACTAGACCTGTGATTTCACTGGGGCACTTGGGACTGAGGAAATTCCCCCTAGCAATGTGGGTCAGCACCCTCTCTACAACTTAGAACTTCAGAGAGCTGCAGGTCACATGGCCTGTACAGGTCAGAAGCAGGACTTGAACCCTGATCTTTGGCTTGGAGGCCACTATATACTACTGTGGTAGTGGTGACTGCAGTGTTGGGCAGGGCAGGGGGACAGGCAACTTACAGTCATTAAATTATTTTGGGTTTGAATGCTCTCTACAAACTTTTTTTGTTCAGTCATTTTCAGTCATGTCCAACTCTTTGTGACCCTATTTGGGTTTTGTTTTGTTTTGTTTTTGGCAGAGATACTGGAGTAGTTTGGCATTTCCTTCTCCAGCTCATTCTACAGATGAGAAAATTGAGGTGAACAGGGTTAAGTGACCTGCCCAGAGACACACAGCTAGTAAGTGAGGCCAAAGTTGAACTCACAAAATTGAGTTCCACTGAGGTCCTAGCCACCCTCTACAAAAGCCTCATTCAATTATGGATTGTAAACTCCTTGAAGACAGGGGCTGCTTTGCTTTTGTTTTGCATCCTTAGCTCTCATAAGTCTTTAACAAATGGTGATTGATAATGACACAATGAAATAAGATCAGCTGCTCACATTTCATTTTCAAATTACTGTCCTCACAATATCCCTGTAAGGTGACCCCAAATCCTCCAAAGGAAGGGGGTGAGCCCTGAGTAAATAGCAGTGGGAAGAGGCTTTATCTAGTAGTTAAGTTAGTTCTGAGTGGTTCATTCTCACTGAGTGACCCTGGGCAGGCCCCTTCGCCTCTCTGGACTTCACTTTCCTTCTCTGTAAAATGAGGGGACTGAACTAGTGAGCCCTGCAAAAAGGTGTTCTAATGAAAGCCAGCTCTGCCACTGACTCATTGTGGTTTGAGGAGGACACTTACTAGCCTGTAATAGGATTAATGGTCCTAAGTGCATAAAGAGACCTTGCCCATCCCCTTTCTGAGTGTCAGCTTCTTTCTTGGTAAAGTGGGGGGCAAGGGGGTTAGACTAAAGAGGCACTGGAATTTAAATCAGAGGATCTGGGTTTGCATCTCTGCTCTGCCACGTTATTGGTACATAAACTGATCTTGAGCAGGGCCTCAGTCTCCCCATCTGTAAGATGAGGAGGCTGGATAAGAGGATCTCTAAGGGCCCTCTCAGCTCTAACATGCTATGATTCTAAGATTAGCCCAACCCTCAGGCCTGGAGGGAGATCTGTGATTTGGTGGATGCCAGCCCATGCTCTGCCGGTTCCCCACCAGCATTTCCATAAGGGAATGCCAGCTCCTCCTGCCACAAATCCAGTGCTGATTCTGCCTGGCGAGCACGGTACCGGGCAGGAGCAGTGGAAGAGTGGCAGGCGAAGGAGCCAGTCCTCAGCCCCAGCCCAGTCCGGCCACCAATCCCCAGGCAGGGCAGGAGGAGAAGGGGAGGGCCCAAGTCTGCGAGCTGGGGAGGCGGGACCAGGTACTCCAAGCATTTCGGAAAATACAATGCAAACAAACGCTCTGACAGCTGCGCCTGCTCCCCGGGCCTCGCTGGAGCCTGCTCAGGCCCTGGCATCGGCGCTGCCAAGCCCATCAGGCCGGGGCATGGTGCCAGGCTGCCCTCTGCAGAGCCAGCGCCTCCCGGTCTGCTGAGGTCACTCGGTGCCCTCTGGTAGGAAGGTAGCAGCACTCACCCTCACCTAACCCGCTGCCCCCTAGCTGCCCCGTGCCCTAAGGAGCACCCAGCGGCAGCCAGGGCTCCTCTGCACCTGGTTTTGCAGCTAAGGCAGCCAGGCAGACAGGCAGGTGGGCAGGGCAGAACCGTGGGCGGGGGGCTCTCAAATCCCCCAGCTCCTGGACCAGCCCCGCAGCCCTTCGCAGACCGAAGCCAACAGCTGGAAATCCGCAAGAGCGTGCCTTAAACGGAAACCAAGTAAGTGCTGATCCTATCTTTTTTATTCAAGCCTTTAAGATCGGAGGGGAGGCTGGATGGGCAGGAGGCAGGCACACAGAAGGAGAATATGAGAGAGCCTAGGATAGCAAGGGGCGGACCCAGGGGAGGGGGCAGGCAGAGAGGTTGGCAGGTCTGGGGGTGGCACAGGAGGGGGAGGCAAGAAGAGAGGGTGGCAGGGCTGGGGGTGGGTGCAGGGGAGAGGACAGAAGCGGAGGCTGGGAGGGAAAGAGGCTGGCATGGGAAGAGGAGGGGAAAACTGGAAAGGAAGGGAGAGGAGGCATGAAAGAAGGCTGGGATGGCATGGGATGGATACTGGGGAGGGGAGGATAATACTATATTATCCCATATTGGCACATATAAGATAATATAGTATCTTATATTGGCACAGGATTGTATGTAGCTTACAGAGTACTTTCACAGGTATTGTGGCTACTTGGATCTTCACAAGGCAAGGCAGATATTGTCATCCCCATTTTACAGATGAAAGCCATTGAAACTTGGTCAGGTGACTTGACTTGCCTCTGGTCCCCCAATGAGTCGATGGCAGACCCGGGTCTTAGTTTTTTATAAGCTACTTGAAGTGGAGAATTTGTCTTCTCTAAACTATATGTCTCCCCCAACACCTCACACAGTGCTCTTCAAAACCGTAGACACTAAATGTTTGTTATATTGGAGGGCACAGAATCATCCGATTTTAGAATTGGGAGGGGCCTTGGAGACCACATATCTAGTCCTGGCCCCCTACTCCACATTCATTTTGGAGGCCTTACCAGAGAAGGAGAGAGAATAGTAACAGTAGCAACTTATTGTCATCATAATAACTCCCGTGAAGTAGGTCTTGCATGTACTGTTTCTTAAACATGTTGTACAGGTGAGGAAAATGAGGCCCAGAGAGGTAAAGCAATTTGCCTGAGGTCACACAGCAAGTGCACTGTGGCAAGAGCCCAGATCCCCTGACCCTCTAATCCTAGATCTGTTTCTCTTCCATTTGGAATATTAGAATGGGGAGAGTTTGGAGAGGGGATGGGAGGAGAGTTAGAAGGAATAGGAAGGAGAGGGAGTGGGACAGCAAGGGGGATAGGAAAGGGGGATGGCATGGTAGGAACTAGGTAGGAGGTGGAGGTTGGGGGGGGCAACCAGAGAAGGAAAGAAAAAGAATAGGGTAGGAGAGATGACATAAAATGTAGTAGAATCGACAAGTCCTGGATTAGGAATCAGAAATCTGGGGTTCACATCCTATCTCTGCCACTTACCTTGGCTAGTCCCTGGACCATCCAGGGACTCATCTTCTGGAAAATGAATGAGCTGGGATCTCTACCTTCCTCTCACAACCCCTCCCCATGGGCCCTTAGCTACAGCAATAGTGGAATAGAGCAGCTAGGTGGCGCCATAGTGCACAGAGCACTGGGCCTGGAGGCAGGAAGATTCATCTTCCTGAGTTAAAATATGGCCTCAGGCACTTACTAGCTGTGTGACCCTGGGCAAGTCACTTCACCCTGCTTACCTCAGTTTCCTCAACTGGAAAATGAGCTGGAGAAGGAAATGGTAAACCACTCCAGTATCTCCGCCAAGAAAACCCCAAATGGGGCCCTGAAGAGTTGGACATTATCACTGAACAGTAGGGGTATAGAGAGAAGCAAGTTAAGCAAGCTGTGTCTGAAGATTTGGCCTTGACCCAAGGTTGGTCCAGTTTTCTGCCTTAAGGCAGTAAGAGTGAAAGGTAGAGGAAGACTTAAAAGGGCTGTGAAGGAAATCCTACTGGGCTAGAGTTCAAGAGGTGGGGAGCAGTGAGCCAGCCTCACTGCAACATACAGGACTGGGGTAGGAGAGGAGAGACACCTTCACAAAATCAGAGACTATCAGAATTGGAAAGGACCTTGGAGGGCACCTGGTTCACCCTCTAACTGGGCAGTAAATGTCTCTACGATGTCTCTGACAAGCACTCATCCAGACTCAGCTTGAAGACTTCCAGTAATCTGGAATCCCCTGGGGCAACCCTTTCAACTTTTGGACATCTCTAATTGATAAGACATTTTTCTTTCTATGGAAGTGAAATCAGCCTGTGTGCAACAGGCTGCCATGGCCCCTAGTCCTGCCCTCCAGAGAGAAGAAGGGTCAGGGACACAGTGGGAGAGAATGGTCCCCCAGGCTGAGGTCTGAACCTATCATCAGTGAGCTGGCTTGGCTAGGGGCTCACTTGGGGTCCCTTATGTAGAGCCACAGGGGGGATGATGAGGTGAAGAGTCAGAACTGGGGAATCAGGGACTGCTGAAAATATCTTTATCCATGCTGGTACCAAGGACTGCAGATAAAACTGGGCATGACAGATGGCAGGCCAGAGTCACACTGCAGGCAGGACTGCAAGGGACATTGTGTTCCAAGTGACCAAAAACCATGTTTGTGGAATCAGTGCTTTTCTTATGCCGTGTACACACACACACACACACACACACACACACACACACACACACACTCACCTTCAAATTGTGCTTCATTACACCTTTACTCTCATACTTAGACTATAGAGGAACATACACTGAGTGGAGGGCACATATACACTTGCAGCTTATATGTCTACACTCACAAGTAGGAGCAATAAACTCTCACAAACCTGTGGGCACATACTCAAAGAGCAATGTATTTGGAGTCAGAGGAGCTGGGTTCAAATGCTGGCTGTGCTGATTTACTGCCTTGTCATTTCCCTTCTCCTAGAGTTTGTCAGTTTCCTCATCTGTAAAATGGAGGGTTGCACTAGATGCTCTCTAGGGCGCCCTCCAGCTGTGGAGAGGAGGATAACAATAAGAAGCATCATCTCTCATAGTGGCAGGGATGTACCAAGCGTACAAAGTGCTTTCAGACATATTGTGTCTAGCTGAATCTTCACAAGGCAAGGCAGATGTTGTCATCCTCATTTTGCAGATAAAAAACATTGAAACTTAGTCAGGTGAGACCCGGGAGTCTCCGATGCCCATTCACGTATACTCAATCTCCCAGGCAAACTCCACACAACTTTCACAAATACACAGTTTTACTTTTCAATAAAAAAACCCCAACATTTATTTGGTGGCTCCTCTGTACCAGTCACTATGCTAAGTGCTAGGGATACAAAGACCAAAACCAGCTTGTCCTCAAGGAGATCACATTCTACCAGGAATACTTCTCCCCAGGTAAATAAAATGCAAAGTGATTTGAGAAGGATGCTTGCACAACAGCTAGATGGAGGGGAAGGAGGGATTCACCTAAGAAGTGGCTGCTGAGCTAAGCCATGAAGGAAGTTCAAGACTATAGGAGGCAGGGGGCATCTCGGTGGCACAGGGGATAGAGCACTGGCCCTGGAGTCAGGAGGACCTCAGTTCAAATCCAGCCTCAGACCAAACAAGTGACCCTGGGCAAGTCACTTAACCCCAATTGCCTAAAAAATAAAAAGGGCTATAGGAGGCAGTGAGGAGGAGGAGGGATGGTGTTCCAAGCTTCACAGATGGAAATAGACAGGAAGCCAGATCAGCTAGACAGAGGCCAGAATGGGTGAAAAGAGTAATGGAACATAAGTGTGGAAAGTTAGATTGGTGCCAGATTGTGGAGGCCTTTAAATAGGTCCCTCCCATCCTACATCTTCCCAGCCTTAGTCAAGTCCCTCCCCCTCTCTGAGCCTCAATTTCCTTACCTGTAAAGTGGGGATACTTGTGTTTGCTTACTTCACAAAGCTGTTGTGAGGCAAGTGATTTGTAAAATGTAAAGGACACAAGAACTAGGATTCAAACCAGTCTCTTTGCACTAGAAAATAGAGTTATTGTTATTGTTATTATTTCTGGTTAGCCCAGGCCAGACCTGAGCAGGTCAGCTTGGGGTGTGTGGTTTCAAGGTTGAGTTCTCCAGGCCATCTTCACATGGTTGATGCTTAGAAGACAGAACGAGGAGCTAAGGAAGGTTGACGTGAAGGAGTCAGATCTCAGGCTCCCCAAACCATTGGTCAGAAGGCTTGTCAGGGTCAGGACCCTAGAAAGGCACCTCAAAGTCACATTATCTCTGAACTGGGAGGTAGGGCCTTAGCACCCATCTAGTCCAAACCTGCCTATCTCTTCTAAAACATACCCCTTAAGAAATCAGGCAACCATCACTTGGAAACCTCCAGTGAAGGAGAAGCCATCACCTCTGGAGGCAACCCAAGCTATAACTCTAAACGGAGGAAGTCTTTCCAGACATGGAACCTAAACTTGCCTCTCCGCCACTTCTACTTGCTTCTGGTTTGGACCTCTAGAGCCAAGGAGAGAGAGCGTAATAGTCTTTAAATACCTGGAGACAGCAATCAAATCTCCTATACTTTTCCTCTTCTCTATATTTTGGGGTTACCTTACTGACCTTGAATAATGAAGAGTTGATGGTTTTTCCCCCTAGTCATTTAGATACCCTGCCTTTTTTTTCACTTTGCAGAGCTTTCTTGACACACTCATTTGATCACATTTCATCCAATCTCTTTTCTGACACACCCTCTGAATCCAAAATGTTCCCTCTTTATGGAATATATCAACGTTTCCCAATCTTTTATAGTGTGATAACTCCATTGTTAGGGTAACAAAAACAGAGGCATGTTATAAGAGTTGTATTCAATTCAACAAGCCTTTATTATGCTCTTACTATATGCCAGACACTATAGTAGGTGCTGGGGGTACAAAGACAAAAATAAAAGTAATCCCTACCTTCAATGGATCACTGAAACCAATAGTCCTTCCAGGCTCACTCCTCCCTAATCCATTTCCTTTCCTCTATAGCCATTTTAGACAATCTATAAATTGCTACAAAGACAACCCTGTGCAGAGGAAAAGTCACTGGGACTACAGAGCAAGAGGTGATGGTGTTGGAAAGAGCCTGGGAACCAGGAGACCTGGGTTCTAGTTCTGGCTGCATCACTAACTCATTGTATAACCTTGGGAAGTGACTTCTCATCTTAATCACTTTCCATTCTCTAGACTTCCACTTCCCTAAATATAACATGAGGGGGCTGGTCTAGTTCAATGCTCAGGCCCAATCCAGCTGTGACTCTAATTCTGGTGTTATGTGGCTGATCCTGGATGGTGTCTTGGGTATCATTTCTCTGTGAGAAATCAAGAAACAAAGAAATGAAGGTTTTGTCCCTAGGCCTATAATGTACCCTAATGGGAGTGGGATGGTTAGTCTCCACTAAAAGTAGTAGGATGCCTACCCTCCCTCATTCATCCCCCTCCACATTAGCTCTCAAACATGAAAGATATGAAGAATTGTATTTTTAAATAGATTTTTGTTGATATCTTTTGTTTTTACGTTGCCTAAAATTTCTCCATGTCCATCCTCTCCTTCTCGTTCCCAGAGATCCCTTATAATAAAGAATCTTAAAAATTTGAATAATTTAAATGTAAGGATTATTTTAAATTTTAATTTTTTAAAAGAATGAAAAAGAAGAGAAAAAATCAACTATACTGATCAATGTATCAAAAAAATCTGATATTATATGTAATGTTTCATATCTGAAGATCCCCATCTCTGTAAAGGAAGGGGTATCTCTTCTTTGTGGCCAAGGTTGTTTTTCATAATTTTGCCATATTCAGTTTCAATTGTTTTGTGATTATTGAGTGAAGGCATTTAAAACTTCCTCTCACCTGCAGCCAGCTAGACAGCAAAATCCACAGAAATTTGTCTGTTGAGCTAGAGGCAGAGAACTAGGCAGCTGAGTCTAGGCTGCTGGTTTTTTGCCTGATATGATTTTTAAAAACATATTCTATCATATTTTGATTAATGCCTTCAGCTTTTATGTCGCCTTCATTTTGTTAATATCCCTCCCCCTTTCCTTATGCATTGAGCCATTCCTTGTAATAAAGCTTTAAAAAAAAAAAGAAAGAAAGAATGAGGCCTTTGTTACAAGGAATGAACGGCTTGCTGCAGGGAGAGATATACTCAGAAATGAATATGATATGAAAACAAAAGGCATCCATTAAAAAATAAAACCCACATGCTTATTATTCTCCATTAAATCAATTTCTCTCTATCTTTCTCTCTCAAAAAAAAAAGCAATTCAGCAAAACCAATCAACATAGCCTTTATAATGGTCTTGGAGGAAGAAACAGTGAGGTGAGGGAGATAGTTTCTCACCAAGTTTTTCTGTTGTTGTTCAGTCGTTTCAGTTGTATCCAACTCTTCGTGACCCCATTTGGGGTTTTCTTGGCAAAGATACTGCAGTGGTTTGCTATTTCTTTCTCCAGCTCATTTTACAGATGAGGAAGTTGAGTCAAACAGAGTGAAGTGACTTGCCCAGGGTCACACAGTTAGGAAGTGTCTGAGGCTGGATTTGAACAAAGGAAAATGAATCTTCCAAGCACTCTATCCAGTGCCACTTAGCTGCCCCCAAATTCTTCAAGGTTCTATAATTTCATTGGTGTGGACAATCCCTTCACTGATGTGTATTGCGGCTTGATTCACTTAAGAGATGGTTTTCATGAATTGCCAGTGGTCAAAAAATGTCCTTACCTGGTAGCCTGCCTCCTGGTAACAGATTCATCCATACTTAGCTCGGCTGGTCTCAAGATAAAAACTGAGCAGTCTATTTCCAGCTCAACTTTAACTACTTCAAATCAATAAACATTGATTAAACCCCAACTACGTGCAAAGTTCCCGTGCTGGGCTCTGGGGACACAAACACACAACCCAGTCCTACCCTCAAAGAGCTTAGATTCTAAAGTGGGGTGGAGGGGTGGAGGAGGGGGAGAACAAGTAAACAGATAATTCCAATACAGGGGAGAAATCAAAGCAAGGGACATGTCCCTATTAGAATATGAACTACTAAGAGAAGGGATGGTCTTGCTTTGCTATCTGTATCCTTGGGACTTAGCTTAGTGTTTGGCACAACATAAGTACTTTTTCATTTATGCATTCCATGCAATGTGCTGTGAGAAGTTTGAGGAGGATGCAATTATTTTCATCTGGGGATCTGAGGATGGCTTTCTGGAGAAGGTGACCCCTTCTCTTGGCTTCAAAAAGAGGGAATGGAGTTAAGCAGGAAGTCTAGTCCAAGTATAAGATAATAAATAGCTTTGAGCAAAACTAAGGATATGGGAGCAAATTGAGTAAGAAGAAGGGGCAGAGAATCGTCCAGTTTGGCTGGCCTATAGGCTACATGAAGGGACATTGTATGTAAGAAAGCTGGAGAAGTAGAACAGAGGCTTCTCAGAGGCTGGAAAGGTAAGTTGGAGCAGGGGCTTGCAAACAAGAATCATTTGCACTTGGTTCGACTCGCCATGGCTTGTGTTTCCCTGACATAACCTCTGAGAGCTTTGAAAGGTCCCTTCCCTGCCCTGATGAAGATGACTCTTGTAGAGGATTTTCCCACACATTGAGAGTGAAAACAAAAGACAAAATAGGCTTTCACATCCTCAACTATACGAAACATAGTCCTTTTATTGCAAATTCAGTTCAGTCTAGTTAATGTTATTAAATGAACAGAGTGACTTCAGACCCTGTAAAGAATGTTCTAAAAATAAGGATTTCATAGATTTTTCATTTGTCTTCAAATTTCAGCTTTCTTCCACCCCACCCCCAACCCTATTTGTTTTTTTCCACAACTTCCGCGTTTCTGGACATTTGGCATCTCTGGGCTCAGAAGCCAAGGCTCCTTCTTCATTGGGAGACGTTGTGGCAGCCCGTGCGTATGATGCTAGAGGTAGAACCTCCCAGGAAAGCCCTGGGGAAACCCCAATCTGCTTAAAACCTTCGGAAGACTGTCCTGCTTCGGACAGTTGTTGGAGGACTGGACCTGACGTGGCCAGAGCCTTGGGATGACTTACAGCCCAGCTTCCCCTCAGGACTTGTACCGAAGCAGCCCCCCCACCCCAGAGCCTGACCTTGGGACCACCACAGATGGGGCTGCTTCAGAGAGTGCCACCCTCAGTCCTGAAACTACCAGCTTTAATGGCACCAAAATTCCAGATGTGGCCAGCAGTGGGGCCAACATGGGGACAATGTTACTGTCCTTCGGAATCATCACTGTGATTGGCTTGGCTATGGCGATGGTAAGAGATCAAGGGATGAAAAAGGAGGGGAAACCCACAAATGGAGGCAGGGGAGGGAGGTAATCAGTGTGTTTTCACATCTGTCACACAGTGGTAAGTGGAAGATCCAGGATTTGAACCCAGATTCTCTGACTCCAAAGAGGTGGTTTTGCCAGAAGCTAAGTCATGACAGGCAGTAGGTAGAACCCTGTCAGATTCCAAATCGCAGAATCCCAGATCTTAGTACTAATCATGGGTCATAGGATATTAAAGCTGGAAGGGCCCTTTGTGATCATCTAGCCTAATTTCTCTCATTTTACAGGAGAGGGAACCGAGGCCTGGAGAGGGTAAGGGACTGGCTCAGGGTCATCCATCCGTTAGTGGCAGAGCTAGGACTCCCTATCCCTTAGTTAGGGCTCCATTTGGTAGGCCATGGTGACTTGTTTTCCTTGGATAACACCTGATGGACATCAGCCACCAAGATTGGTTGGACCTGTGTCCTTTCTGTGACCCTGAGGCAGGCAGGGAGATGCCCTGATTATACTCATCATTTATCTTTGCAGCTCAGTTGGCACTTATGATAATTCCTTAAAATTGCAAGGACCTTGTTGGCCCATGATTCAACACTGATGCAGAATGACAAGTATCTGTTCGGCTTTTTGAACCAATGCCAAAAAATACATCTAGTTTCTGAGAGGCAGCTTAGAAACTGGGAGCCAGGAATCCTATGTGCTGATCCCACTAACTTGCTGATTGACCTTGAGCAAATCACTCTATCTCTCTGGGCCACAGTTTCCTTACCTGTAAAATGGGTAGTTTGGAGCAGATTCTCTCTTAAGGTTCTTTCCAGCTCTGATATACTCTAAGTGTTCCCCATGCTGTCAGGCTCCCCAGGCTCTCAGATTTGTAGGGGGAGGGGAACTAGATGAAGATCCCCAAAATTTGGGGTCTCACCTTCTTTCTGGGAAGCTTTAGCTCCTCCAAGTTCTCTTGGCCCTAAACCATGGGATGGAATTCAAGTACTTTGCCCAGCCTGGGTACAAGACTAAACCTGAGAAAGAAAATGATAGGGATATAAGCTCAGCTGGAATCAAAGCTGGAGAAGATATCTAGTGCTGGCAGAGAAAGGTTGCCACCTTTTCCAGCCCAGAGGACAGCCCGAGCTGTTGGGGTCATATGCTAGGGATAGATAAGGGTTCCGAGGAACGTGTTCCTAAATTTTTCTCAATTAAGGGATTGTAAAAGGGGAATCTCATTCCATTGACTTTGGGTAAGACCCTTCCTGTCTCTGGGTATTATTTTCCCCTTCAACACTGGGGACAAATTAGCTGGTCTTGATTTCTAGGATTCCTACTCTCTCTGAAAGTCTTCCCCCCTCTCCCCCCACCCTGCATTCACATTCTAACCTATAGGTTTTCAATTCAATTTGACAGCCATTTTCAAAGTGCCTATTGCATGTGAAGCCCTGTGTCAGACGCTAGGGAGATAACAAATCTTCAGTAAGGCATCCTACAGCTTCCAGTATAGTAGGGAGAATAAGACACAAATACATAAAATTATGCAGTATGACATGACAAATGCACAAATGCCCTGAGTTGGAAGGCTGATTGCCAGGAGAGTGAGCCAAGTGCCTGGCTTTGGCTGCTTACTTCTCCAGGCAGCTAGGTGCCTCATCAGATAGAGTTCTGAGCCTTGAGTCAGGAAGACCTGAGTTCAGATTTGGCCTCAGACACTTCCTATCTTTACTAGCTGTATGACTCTGGGCAAATCACTTCATCTCTGCCTGCCTCAGTTTCCTCAACTGTAAATGGAGATAACGATAGCACCTAGTCCTAGGGTTGTGAGGAGCAAATGAGATATATTTGTAAAGGGCTTACCATGGTGTGGGTGCTTAATAAATGCTTATGTTCTTATTTCCAGGGAAAGAGAGGTCAGGATGCTCCCATGCCCCCCACCCCCACCCCCACACCCCACACATCCCTATTGTCCTCATGAGACTGGGAGATGGTCCTTCTTCATGGTTATCTCACTATCTCTGGCTCCCTTCCCACTCACCTCAGGTGCCACCTCTTCCATGCATGCAACCTTCTTGGCTCTCCCACACCACCCACCAAGTGAAAGGGATCTCCCTTGAAAGTTCTCAGGAGGCTTTGCCTGAGACTCTCCAAAGCATTTTTCTCACTCTCCTCTGTATCTGTTTTTGTGATTCTCCCTTAGGTTATAAATTCTTTGAGATTAGGGCCTGGGCCAAAGCAGAATGCCAGGCCTCCAGTTTAGAGCATCTTTTTGAATTGAATTGAAAGAATTTCAGTTGCCTTGGGGTGGTTTGTGTCTAAGAGAGGAGGTGCCTTGAAAACCTATTTGTCAGTTTCATTCATAGCCCACAAACCAAGCCACAATCTTTCCCCTTCTTCCCCCAAAAGCCAAAATGGCCAATGTTGATAGAACCCAACTTTTGTCCCAGAAAACTTTCACTCTGTGTGAAAGTTGGCCCCTGAACTAAGGGAGTTCTGGTCTGAGCAGGTCACTCAATCTCTTCCTTCAGGAAGCTCTTGGTCCAAGGGGGACACACGGCTCTTGTTCTCAGTGAGCCCCCATCTGAAGTGGGAAGACAGCTCCTGCCTTCAGGTAACTCATGAAATAAGGGAGAGATCAGGCCCCAGCCTTCAGGGAGTCCCTACTTTGAAGAGGACGTAGAACCCACATCCTTAGGGAGCCCCAGATACAGGGCCGAACCCTAATGGTCTAAAAGAAAAATAGCCTATGTCCTCGGAGACCCCCCAGTCTGGAGGAAGAGGCTGGGCAGAGGATACAAGTCTCACTCGAAAAAAAGGACCTTGTCCAAGTGGTTCCCCCTCCCCTTTAGGGGAATCTTTACAAATTCTAGTAGATATTCCACAGCTCTCTGTATCCGTCCACAGCTTTTAGTGTCCCTGCCCCACCCCAAGATGATGTTTGAGGCAAGTGTCAGGTAGACAAAGGCGGGCAAGTGGAAGTTTGTGTGCTGTAGGTGGGCAAAGCTGGTGCCCCTTCCTCAGCTTTGTTGATGACCCCGAGAATGCTTAGCCCCTGAGGTGACCATCTGTGATCTACTAACTAAGGTGGGGGGTAGGAGCACTATGTTAACCAGGAGTAGAAATCCTATTAATTTAATTCCACAAACATTTATGAAAGTCGTACTGGATCCATAAAAAGGTGAAAAAAACCCCAATAGATCCCTGCCCTCAAGGAACTTAAAGATCTTGTATTCAGTCCTGTCCAACTCTTTGTGACCCCATTTAGGGTTTTCTTGGCAAAGATACTGCAGTGGTTTGCCACTTTCTTCTCCAGCCCATTTTACAGATGAGGAAGCTGAGGCAAACAAGGTGAAGTGACTCGCCCCGAGGTCACCCAGCTAGTGAGTGTCTGAGGCCAAATTTGAACTCAAGAAGATGAGTCTTCCTGACTCCAGCCCTGGTTCTCTATGCACTATGGCACCGCCTAGCTGTCCCCATAAAATCTACCAGGGATGATAATAACTTACATTGCCCTAACACTTTGATGCTTGCAAATTTTTTCCTACGACTTTGTGAGATCAGTAGTGAAAGTACTATTATCCTCATTTTACAGAAGTAAAACTGAAGCTCCCGTTTACACGTGATCACACAGCTAATACTTATTCAGGTTTCCTGGTTCTATATGTTGCTTCTTCTTTCCTATCAATCTATGTCGCTGCCCTCCCCTAGACACCTATATAACCAAATGCTTGCCTCATAGACTCACCTCCTCTTCCCTCCTCTTGCTGAGGGATGGTTTACCCACCCTGAAATAACTTTGTCTCTCCTTCTACCCTAGGTTCTGTACATCAGGAAAAGGAAGAGGTAATCCCTTCATTTTTTTTCCAGGCTTTCAGTACTGTAGAGCAAAGATGTGGAAACATGGGGAATAGCCAAGGACAGAGAAGGGAGAAGCAGAAACACACACACACTCATACACACATACACGTGCACATGCACACAACACACACACACAGAGGCCTTGGGCAGAGATGTTGGGTGGGGATCAGATCCCTGCTCCTAGGACAGTGCACCCGTGGTTAGAGAGCTGGGGCGTAGGGTGGGGGGAGACACTTTTTCCCAGGTCTCCAGTGAATCCTTTGGAGGACAATATTAACCCTCATTTATCTACCCTCTCCCTGCCACCTTTTTTGGCCCAAACCTGTGATTTCATTGGTGTAGGAAATTCCCTTTTCTCAGTGAAGACTGGTACCTTCGTTGCAATTTATATTTTTATATTTATATATTTATAGCTTTAGAGAACTGCCTGGGGCACAGAGAGGTTGACTAACTCATTCGGGATCACACAACCTCTGTGTTATTGGTAGGACTTGAACCCAGGCCTTCCTGATCTGAAGTTGTCCCCCTATCTACTAGGCTACATTGCCTCTCTTAGTCCTTTAAGTTTAAAAAATACATATACTTTTCTCATAGGTGCAGTTATTATTATACCCATTTTGCAGATAGGAAACTGAGGCACAGAGAGATTAAGTGATCTGCCCATTGTCCAACCTCTAGCTGGGAGATTAAGAAAAAAGAAGATGAAAACAGATATATTCTCTGTCCTCATGGAGCCTTCTAGGGATAATGTGTAAGAGTTATGAATTGAACTCAGGCCTTTTGACTGGAAGAATGATACTCATTCCACTCATTCATTGTACCTTGACAAATCTAAGCTGTTTTTTAAACCATGGAGTTAGACCATGCCTGGTGATGAGGGGAGATACTAACATTAATATGGTGGTTCTCACTTTGACATCTGTGGTCAATGTGAATGTCATGTGGGTAGAGCAGTGGAGAGAGTTCTAGACTTGGAATCAGGAAGACCTGAATTCAAATCTAGTCTCAGACTGGCTGTGTGACACTGGGCAAATCACCTAGCTTTGTCTCAGTTTCCACATCTGTAGAATGGAGATAATGATACCACTATCACCACCCCTGGGTTGTTGTGAGATTCAAATGAGATAATATTTGTAAAGTACTTTTCAAACCTTAAAATGTTATCTAAATGCGAGCTAGGATTATTATCCTTCCCTCTGTGCTTACGGAAAGCAGGTGAGCTTCGAGGCTCCTAGCCTGGGCTACCCCTCCCCCCATATCCACAGGGTGTCATAGCTCCATGCCATCCTTTCCCAGGCCCCGTTCTCATTGCCACCCTGTCCTGGGTCTCTTGGCCCCAAGTCAGGAAGGTTCTGCCTTGGGAACCAATAACTTCACTTTTGCTGCCTCATGATCTCGACTAAGTTATCCCCTGAAAATAAGTCTTTGAAAACTCAATTGCTTTTGTTCCCATTCACATTAATGTAAGTCAAACACCAAAGGGAGGTAGATAAATCTTGCTGTTTACTGCTGGGGGAAAAAAGAAAATAAAACTCGTAATTGCCTAAGGTCACACAGCTAGTTAATGGCAGTGGTGACAGAGAATTCAGACTGGGATACTGGACACTTTTTTAATTTTGACTTTGCTACCAGCTTACTGTGTGACCTTGGACAACTCCTTTCTTACAAGGCTTCAGTTTCCCTATTTAAAAAAAAAATGAGAGATGATCTGTAAGGTCCCTGCCTGCAGAGAAATGTGTGCCAGTGTAGCCCAGGATGACGCCCTCAGAGTAGGCGGCAAGAGATCTGGCTGCTGGTTGGGCTACAGTCTATCCCAGCTCTGACATTCTGTGTTCTATGGTGTCAAGTGTTTTCTTGATATTGACATGCTATATTCTAAGCTCCGGCACTGACACGATCTGTTCTGTGTTCTAAGATCTCTTCTTCTGGTGCTGATGTTCTGTGTTCTAAGGTCCTTGTTAACTCTAACAGTCTCCTATTCTATGAATTCCAAAAGCGAACAGAAATATTTGTAATGAATATCTGCTCCTTTGATTCGTGTACCTTCTCTTCCATTCACATGGAAGGCAGAGTGGACAGCCCATAAGCCTCAGTCGGGGAAGTATTGCCTGGCATGTTTTGTAGCCAATCAGTATGGAGTACCTATAGGCTGTGGGGCCTGGTCTTGAGCAGCTATGGGAAGGCCTTAAAGGTAAAGCGTGTCACAGGAAGCCCTGCCTTCAGGGTCTCTGCCAACCCTGTGAGTAACTTGCTAAAAAATGAGTAAGGGAGAGCTGAAGGTATCAGCGTATGGGTACTGAGGTTCATCGGTCCTAGAGCTGGGAGAAACTTTAGAGGTGTCTATTCAAACCAGAAACTGAGGCCTAGAAAGCTGAAGTGATATGCCCAAGGTCACTCAGCTGATAAACATAGGTGTGATTCTAAGCCAGATCTTTTAACTCTAAATCTAGCACCCCAAAACAGGGGGGGGGGAAGTGCTGAAAAAGGAAGTCCTGCACTTGTCTTTCCCTATTGGCAGCTGTTGTCTCCCCCATCATACCCATTAGCCGGGCTATGTCTTAGGCCATTTAATAAACTATTCAGCACCCGCTGTGCGCAGAGGGAGGCCTTTGCTAGCACCAGACAGGAGACAGAGGAGAGGCGACCTCACATTCCACCCCGCTCTCTGCTTTCAGGCTGGAGAAGCTTCGTCACCAGCTTATGCCCATGTATAACTTTGACCCCACGGAGGAGCAAGATGAGCTGGAACAGGAGTTGTTGGAGCATGGGAGAGATGCGGCCTCTGCACAGGCCTCTCAGAACAAGGTACAGAATTCTCTGTCTCTCTGTCTCTGTCTCTGTCTGTCTCTCTCTGTCTAAAGCACTATATAAATGTTAGCTACCCTTATTATTATTGTCATTATTTTTAAAGGGCAGGTTAGAATTCAGACAAAAAGAGGAAAAGAGAATGTTACAGACATAGGAGACAGCATAGTCCAGAGCATGGAAAGTACAGACCATGTTCCAGGGCAATGAATAATCAAGCTTGTCTGGAGTCAGGAGAACATGGATGAGGGTAATAGAGATAGGACTGGAACAGTAGTATGATATTAATTCATTGTGCAATTCTGTATACCTACTGTGAGCCCATCTCTGGACTGGAGGTTATGGGATGATAGGAGAGGAACTCAGTCTGGGAAAAAGGGCAAGACATATATGATTAGGAGTCAAGAGACCTGGACCCCAGTCTTGGTTCTAAAAAAAAACAAAACATACACACAAGTGTATGTATGTGTGTGTGTGTGTATATATATATATATATATATACACACATACACACATATGTAATCTTTTCTATCTATCTATAATTTATCATTTATCTATATATAATCTATATAATTTATATCCACATCTATATAATATTTTATATCTATACATTTTATATCCAGTCATACATATATATACATACATAATCTTTTTTATCCATAATTTATAATTTCTCTATAATCTATATGATTTATATCTATATCTATACAATCTTTTATATCTATATATTTTATATCTATAATCATGTGTGTGTATATTATATATATATAGAAAGAGAGAGAGAGAGAGCTTTTCTTCTTCTCCCAAGGAACTATCCTGCCATACAAAGAATAAAAGAAGGAAAAAAGCACTCAACAAAACCAACCAGACATTCACCAAGTCCTACCTCAGATGTAGTATTCTATATCTATATTGCCTCAGTCCTTACAAGAAAATAAAGGGATCTGTCTTCCTGTCTCTGTCAGGTCTGAGCTCGGTCATTAGAATTTCATAACACTGAGTTTCATTTTTTGAACACTCAAAAAATGTATCCATTCAAAGTATTATCATCATGTATATTGTCTGGTTCTATTTACTTTACTTTGTATCAGTTAGTAGAAGCCTTCCCATGCTTCTCTGTATTCATTATTTCTTAGTTACAGTAACATTCTATTCTATTCATGGGCCACATTGTTTAGCCACTCTCCCATCAACTTTGTGTGCAGGCTCTACCATGAGCTCACCGCGTAGTCTTGGGAAAGTCTCTTTCCTTCTCTAGGACTCAAGCTTCCCCTTCTGCAATATGGTGGGTTTTGCCTGAATGGTCTTCAAGGGCTTTCCCTTCATTTTCTGATGTTCTTCAACTTGCTGCTTCCTCATAGATTCTACTGACAAACCAGGGCCCAATGCAGAGACCCAGCCGGCTGGTTTTCACTGATGTGGCCAACGCCATCAACGCTTGACTGGCATCAACTCCAGTCTCGGGATGCAGCTGGGGGCAAGGAGGACAGCACCCCTCACCGGCCAGCACTAACTCTAGTCAACTGATGGGAGCCCAGAGCTGGCTTTGTTGGGAAGGTCTCCCAGTCATTTCTATTTCTAGCCCACACAGTGCTGCCTGACCTGGAATTTATAAAATTCTGGTTGGACATAAAATTGGCATCACAGCCCAGCACAGGGAGAGACAGTGTCCCCATGATATAAGACAAAAATGGCGCCTGAGGTGCCTGGGTCCTCTTTGCAGGAAGCAACAGCTGACTCCACAGTTCACTGGTTCTCTGTACCTCACTCTCTCTCTTTCTCTCCCCCCCTCCACCCTTTCCTCCCTAGGCTGCAAGAAAATCACACCAGGCTAATATGTGGCTTAAACTGATGATCAAAGGAGTCGAAATCTATGAGCACAACAGACTAAAATTTGGGCCAAGTTCAGTGGTCAGCTTTTGTGTGTGCATGTGTGAGGCAGGGCTGGGGGGAGCTGAAACCTTTCTGTCCCCTACTAACAGTGTATTCTCTATTCAACAAAAGATAAAGAAGAAAGGGTGAAGGGGGAGAGGGAGGGATAAAAATAGGAAGGAGAAAGGGAGACATAGGGACGGAGAAGGAGAGATGAAATATGGAATAATTATAAGGGAAGAGAGGCAGGGAAGGAGAGAGATGGGAAAAGACAGAAATGGGAGAGAGAGAGAGATTTAGGGAAAGCAAGGGAAGGAGAGTCTGGTCAGGCTCTCATAATCCTGACCCATGTCTGGAATCCCTGCATGCTTGGTACAGCTACTTCCATTTCTCATGGAAAAGGTCACTGGTGAGTGTTTTTGGAGTTAATGGGAGAGGGAAACCAGTGACTCATGGAACAGCCTCCCCTCCGCACCCCTCACTCAGGCCTATATTCAATAAGTTAGTATGCCTCTTGGGGTTGCTTAAAAGGCCAACTACCCTATGAATATAGAGCTGTATTTTTGAAAGGCAAGATATTTTGGACCCTTACTTGTACCCCTGAGGAGTCAAAGAGGGATTAAGAGATGTGTGAAGCAATCAAAGGTATTCAGGACCATCTACCCTGTAGACCCACCATCCAACCCATAGCAGGTGAACACTGCTGGGTTAGCATCTGGACTAGGCTTGGCTTAGAGTAGAGAGGATTTCTACCAGGGTCTATCCCGACCACTTCAACTTATCTAGCTGCATCATTAACAAATGTCTGGTGTGTGTGTGTGTGTGTGTGTGTTTCCATGCACAGGGGTGTCCTTTTGTGTTTGTGTGTGCGTGTTTCTATGTAGAAGCACATATGCCTGTGCGTTTTTGTGTGTGAGTGTATGAATGCGTACATATCTGTCTGTATGTCTGAAAGGCCAGATCAGCCTTTTGTTGCTTTTTAAATCTCCAAAGTAGACACTTAATCCACCTAAAGTAGCTTTCCCCCATGATCCTGGTGGTGCTACCAGAGTAAGATGGCTTCCTGACTCTGGGTGGGGTGGGAGTAAGCAGGTAGCTGCTTCCTGCCATCTGAATGGGTGCAGGAACTGGGCTTGGAGGCACCTGGAGGAGGTGGTAAGTAGGGGGGGGGGAAGCAGAGGCTGGCTCAGGTCTCATCTCCAAAGGGCAATGATGACATTCTGATGAACCTTTCCCCTTCTCCCCTTCATGGAACAAGAACACTCTTCTAAAGGCAAACATGATTACACCATGTTCTTTGCCCGCCTTTCAGTAAATACTGCCCTACCTGTAGCTACAGACCTTTAAAATGGGGAGCCTCACACCTGACCAGGATTGGGTGGGGTGATGCTGATAGCTTGGAGGGAGGGGGCAAAGGGAGGCCTTTGGAAAAAAAACCCCACAAGGCATCTTGCCTGCTTATTGAGATGACCACATTATAGCCAGGCATTCCACTCAGGGAGTAGATACCCAATTGAATTCAACCAATGCAATTCAGAAAATATTCATTAAACACCTGCTGCCCTGAAAAGCTCTATGCTAGACCTTGGAAGCCATACACAGTTTATCCAAGACAGGGTCCTTGCCTTCCATAATGCTTAGGGTCTAGGATGGGGAAAAGACATAAACACAGATAATGATAATGCACAATACTTTTTTTTAAATAGTATTTAATTTTTTCCCATTTACATGTAAAGACAATTTTCAACATTAACTTTAAAAATGTTTTTGAGTTCCAAATTTTCTCCCTCCCTCTCTCCCTCCCTCACCTCTTTCCTCCCTAAGATGATAAGTAATTTGATATAGGTTATGCATGTGCAATCATATAAAACATTTCCATATTAGTCATATTGATGCACAATATTTCTTGACAGGTTCGTACGAGGTCCCAGTTCACTCTTAAGGTTAAAAAAAAATTTCCCCCTACTTCCCAGGCAGAATATAAGCTCCTTGAGGGCAGGTCTGTCTCACTTTTGTATTTGTATCCTCAGCATCTGGCACAGTGCCTGACACATAGTAGATGCATAATAAATGCTTGTTGATTGATTATGTATCTAAAATTCTCCTATACCTACCGAACATCTGCCCTTTCCCCACCTCCCATGATAACTACACATTTACTCCAACCAACAGGAGATAAGAGTGTGTGATTTGAGTGTGTGTGTGTGTGTGTGTGTGTGTTTGTGTCTGTGTGTGTCTGCGTGTGGCGGGGGAAGAGGGCATGAATTTTCAGCTTTTTCTGTAGCATAAATACTACCTGTCAGGAGCTCCAGGGCCTGGGAAGGCTTTGCTAAGGGAACAGTATTTATAAATTCCTGATTTGAGAAACTATAAATATATTGGTCCTTCAGTATGCTCCAAGGTCATTGGATAATTTAGCATTCCCATTAAGGTGTAATTTAATGCTGAGGGTTTCCATGTGAAGGCATTAAAGATGCAATTAAAATGTTTACGTGAACTAAAGTGAGAACCTGTTAAGCCCTGTGTGTTTGCAGGGTAGAGCATCCACACTGGCATACAGTGGGGAGAAGGCTAGGATTAGGAGTCAGAGCATCCACGACTGAATCCCCACTTTGCTACTCATGTGGCCTTCAACAAATTACTTGCCCATTCTGGGACCTTAGAGGATTATAGACCTAGAGCTGCAGGGGACCTCAGAAACCATCTAATTCAAACAGCCTTTGAGCAGAAAATTCTTCTACAACCTCCCCAACGTGTGGTCACTGAATGGGTGTTGCCTCAATCAAACTGAGACCTGGGAAAGACCTTAGATGAAAAAAGGTCATAGTCTCCCACTGCATCTGGCACCATCTTCAATTGTCCTGATTTATATCTTGCTACTGGACCAGATGGTTCTGGAGGAGAAAATGAAACTGGTGACTTTGCACAGCACTCCCTCACTTAAATCCAATTCACTTACAAATCATGGCATCATGATGTCATGGTCCTCTTTGAGAACGAAAGGACAAACAACAACTACTTGAAGACCTCTAGCAATGGAGAACTCACTACCTTATGAGGAAGCCCATTTCATTTTGGGATAGCTGTAATTGTTAGGAGGGCAGCTAGGTGGCGCAGTGGATAGAGCACTTGGCCTAGAGTCAGGAGGACCTGAGTTCAAATTGGGCCTCAGACACTTACTAGCTGTGTGACCCTGGGCAAGTCACGACCCCATTTTCCTCAGTTCCTCATCTGT